GGCATGCACCTGTAATCCCAGGTACTCAGGAGGCTGAGGCAGGAGAATCACTTGAGCCTGGGAGGCAGAGGTTGCAGTGAGCCGAGATCCCACCACTGCATTCCAGTCTGAGACCCTGTCTCAAAAAATGAAAACAAAAAAGGACTAAAATATAATATAAATAAATAATATTTCCTCCAGTGAAGGCTTCTTAAAGGAATGGCCAATTCCAGATCAGGGATTTGAACTATTCATGATGAGTCATATTTTGTGCCAGAAAGCAAAGAAGCAACCAAAACCAATGGATTATATCAAAAGGACACTGGAGTCAACATGAAAGACTTCCTGTGACCTAAGATGAGAGCATGTGAGCATCCAAAAGAATAATGATGCAACTGATTTAAATGCATTGAACAGGCCGGGCACAGTGGCTTATGCCTATAATCCCAGTACTTTTGCGAGGCCGAGGTGTGCAGAACACTTGAGGTCAGGAGTTCAAGACCAGCCTGGCCAAAATGGTGAAACCCAGTTTCTACCAGAAACATAAAAATTAGCCAGGTGTGGTGGCAAACGCCTTTAATCCCAGCTACTGAGGAGGCTGAGGCACGAGAATTGCTTGAACCCAGGAGGTGGAGGTTTCAATGAGCTGAGATTGTGCCCCTGCACTCCAGCCTCGGCAACAGAGTGAGACTCAGTCTTAAAAAAAAAAAAAAATTGACTATATCAAAACTTATAGGTTCATATTGATCCCATCCCCCACCTTCCCCACACACACATTGTCATTGGGCCACCATTTGAAGTATTTAATGAATGAATTCCCTGTTCTGAAGTTGAAAGGAAAAAATTCACATTCATTCATTCTGCCCTTCTTGTATAAACTGTATTTCAGAGTAACCAAACAGCACTAATTGAAAAAAGAGAATTCTCCTTTACAAAACCATTTTAGCTAATAGAGAAGATGTTCATAGGATTAGAAAAAAGTTATCATTTTGCAACCCGTAATGAAATTTTGATTCAGACAGTGATCATCAATACATAAAACCATTAGGTTGAAGATTGATGACAACCCTTACAATAGGGGAATGAGGCTGTCATCACCTGAACCCACCCAAAGTGGGACAACTAGACATGATGTGATAGGAAGCATTGTGCCACCCCCCCAGCCCCAGTACAAAGCTGGCCTCCACTGACATCAAGCATCGAGAGTTAACTTCCATTTAGAGAAATGTGGGAGACAGAGGAACATGCTGCAGAGCAAATGACACAGTTTCAGCAATAGGTCAGCAGCACAGGGGGAAGGATGAGAACCCAACACAGATGAGAGATTTAACAGACTTAACACAGGTGTAGTATGTGGACTTTGTTGGGATCATGACTTAAGCAAGCCAACTTTAAAAAAATTTGAGGCTGGGCATGGTGGCTCACACCAGCACTTTGTGGGGGTCAAGGCAGGAGGATCACTTGAGGCCAGGAGTTCAAGACCAGCCTGGCCAGCATGGCAAAACCCTGTCTCTACTAAAAATATAAAAATTAGCTGGATGTGGTGGTGCACTCCTATAATCCCAGCTATTTGGAAGGCTAAGATAAGAGACTTGCTTGAACCTGGGAGGCAGTGAACCAAGTTGTAGTGAGCCAAAGTCATGCCACTGCACTCCAGCCTGGGTGACAGAGCAAGACTCTGTCTCAAAAAATTAAAAATAAAAATAAGAAACCATTTTTGAGACAATTGGGAAAATTATGGATTATTGGTGGCTGTCAAGTAAGAAGAGTTAATGTTGCCAGTGAATGAATGAGGTGGAGGTTATGAAAGAAAGTGATCATTTTTTTTGGAGGTGCATACTGAAGTATGTAGGAGTGAAATGACATGTGGTTTGACTGGTGTTTGCCTGAAAACACTCCCCCGAAGAAGACAAGGATAGATGAAGGAAACATGGCAAGCTCTTGATGGCTGTTGGATTTGAGTGGTGAATAGATGTTTGAATTTTCACTAAGAATATTTTCTTCCAGTGACTTACTCTTCTGTTCCTTAGGAAAGAGGGGCAGAAATCTCCTGTCTGGCCTAAGGCAAAAACATAATTGTGGAGCGGCCTAAATATTCCTCTCTGCAATGAGTATTTATTAAGCAACTGTGTGCTAGGCAAGGAGAGAGTGTGCAAGATCTAAGCTTTGCAGTCAGAAGCCTCAGTTTGAACCGATTCTCTGTTGCTATCAGTTTGATCCTGGGCAAGTTGCTGTTTCTCTTTGAGCTTTCACTTCCCTGTCTGTATATGATCTGCTCCACAAACTGGTAAAGGCAGTAACATCTCTCTGCTTTCTAAACTACTCACTCAACTCCCACAGCCCTTACTAGCAAGAAGTCTAGCATCCCCCTTGGAGGACCTTCCCCCTCTCTTCCTCACTGTCTGGAAATCTGGGTCTCCTCAGCCCGCAGGTGGGCGGGCCTGGCCCTGGTACCAGGAGTGCTGTCCCTCTCACGGCCACACGGTGTAGATCTTGGAGCTTCATCTTCCTGCCCGGCTACTCTGTCACGGGACAGGCTTGCCGATTCCCAGCATGGCCTTGAGTGAGGGGTGAGGGGATGGCTGGAACCGCAGAATTAAATCTTAGTTTTCATTCTCGTTCTCTGAAATGACCCATAAAGGCACAGCACATCATGGCTGGTCCGCAGCCTTATATTGTGCAGGACAAGCCCTTTCTATCGGACAAAATACTAACCCCATTATATAGCAGCTGCTGCTTTAGGGGCTTGGGATATATTTGTGAATAAAAAAGACCCCTACTCCCCTCAGGGAGCTGGGGAGTGGGGATCTGCCACAAACCTGAGCCCAGGCCACCAGCGAAGTCTTCCCCTCTCCCCTTGGTGAGTATTGTTTTGGAAGATGAAGGTGCTCTCAACCACACAGTGTGAACCTAACCTACTTTTCCCCAAGCATCAGCAGTGAGCATGTTAGATGGGCGGTGGGTGGTGGGGCTGGTGCAGGGGTGCTGAGTGTTACTAGACTACACACGTACACATAACCCCACACACCTTTTATGTAGCAAAATGGAGCTTGCTCCTCTGTCCTGTATAACTGAGTGCCACAAAAATGATCCTTCAACAGAAATCAGGTCATTTCTTCAGGCTGAAAAAACTTTGTATCTGTCACCTCACTTAAAATGACTGTTATCCATCTTACAGAATTGTTATGAGGATCACATCAGATTCTTCACTGGGCTGGCCTCATAAAGGTTGTGTTTTGCTCACTGCTTTTTTTTTTCCCACTCTATCCTGTGAGATATATTCTCAGTCCCTAAAACAGTCCCTGGCACATAGTATTCCAGGGTGCGCACATGCGCGCGCGCACACACACACACGTGCGCGCACGCGCGTGCACACACACACACGCATGTGCACACACAGTGATGAATGAGCCTGCGAAGAGGGTGATCTCAGGAAACATTACCTCTGTAGATTCTCAGTCGGTCTGGGGTGGGCCTGAGACTGCATTTTCACTGGCTCCTGAGAGTGGCTCTTGTCCAGGACACTTAAGTGGTGAGGCCGAGTGGTGCATTTTGAGTGGCAGTAAAGTGGAACCATTAAGTACTTGGTGTCTGGGGTCTGACAGTCACGTCCCCACCATTCTTATCTTTGTGGCCTTGGGCGGGTTACATAACCCCAGTAAAATTGAATTGCCTCACCTCCAATATGGCAATACCCACTAGGGCTGCCTGATGAATAGTATTGACCCAGTCAACTTGATATTTTTAGCTCTCTGTCCAGTAAATTTTAAAAAACCCCACACACTGACCACTTTTGTATTGCCTTCAGAATGCCATAGCCCTCTGAAGTAAAATCACTGGATGTAAACAAAGATACTTGCTATAAGAGTTTTAACTTTCATATTTTGCCCTTTATAGCTCTGATTTTTTGTTTTTACCATTTTACAAGAATATATTCATACGTTAGTTGTGTAAAGCAAATATATACATATAATTAATATAATTACAGTAGAAAATTAAGCCTGACCATTGCTTGAAGTCTTTGTGGATGGCATGTGGGGCAACTTGATAAAACCCGTGGCCCTCTTAAAGCGTTAACTGAGCGTTGAGTGCTGAGCGTGCTGCTGGGCGCAGTGTGCTCGAGGACTGCCACATATTCATGCCTGTGCCTCTGGAAGGCAGGCTTTTCTTCCTCTTCTTCACTGCTGTTTCCAGCAACCCACGCTGTGCTTACAGTATGCTAGGGACTCAGTAAACATTTGATGAATGTACAAATGATCAGTTCTTTTCGCCTCAGGTGAACTCTCGCAGGTGGTCAGGTGGAGGAGTGAGGGCTGGGGCAGCTTTAGCCAGCTGTAGTTGGCCTTAGGTGCAGAGAGACCCAGCAGGGGCCCACAGCACACAATGTGGATGTCTTCAGTTGCTGAATCAAACCCTAGACAAATGCTGAGGGAGCGAGTCATGCTGAGGCACAAAGCAAGGTGTTGGCCATGGAAATGCGTTCGGGTCTTTTACATGGTGTTCTGCGATGATGCTCATTGGGGGTTCCAGAGCAAATAAAAGGTTGGAGTTAATTGTACTTGCCCAAAGAGAGGGTATGCTGAGCACTGTGCTTAGCAGAGCACCAGGCAGGAGTGGGGAGGAAGGAAAGGCCTTTGGCTTATTCCCCGACATCTCGGCAGTTGTACAGGGCTGCCACAGACAGCTCCTCTGACCAGGGGCTGCCCCAGGAAAATAGAAGACATCAACACGCCCTGAGAAAGTTCTCTCCTGTCTCCCTGAAGACTGCAAAGGAGGGAGGGAGGACCCGGACTTTCCAGTTCTCCTCCTTTTTCAGCTCTGGATGGGACTTCATAAAGTCCAAGGATATTCTTGGAGTGGGAAAAAAGCTGCAGGATTGAGTGCAGGGAGCTGACTGATGCTGATATTACAAATCCATGATGTGACTAAAAGTGGTGTAAAAAGATTATTCATCAAGAGGTCGCAGAAGGAAACGTTTCCAGCTCCGCTAATTGTTCCCATCCCACTTTCTCTCTCTTCAGGTGACCTTGTACAAGGACTCTGACATGGAGGACTTTGGGTTCAGTGTAGCGGATGGCTTGCTGGAGAAAGGAGTGTATGTCAAAAATATTCGCCCAGCTGGGCCAGGAGATCTTGGTGGCTTAAAGCCCTATGACAGGCTCTTACAGGTAAGATCTCAGGTGGAATTTTAATTCCTTGCAAGTAATTTCTCACTGGGAGTTTCCTCCACATCCTCCTGCATATTTGGGGCCCTTTGCTTTTTTCCCTTTTTTTGTCATCAAAATTATGGAATTAGTAGAAGCAAACAGCTGAATAAAGAATTTTCAGCTCTAGTAAATTCTAACCCAGCCCCCAAAGTTGTGTGGTTTATCAGGTTTTTTTTTTTTTTTGAGCTCAGAGCCATCTTTCCCAATCTCATGCTCATTTCTCAGACTCCACCCAACCACAGGTCATCTCCCAGCATCGCATAGTAGTCCTGTAAATATGGTTCTCTGACTCTAGGTGCAAGCAGCCTAGTCCTTCCTACCACTTGTCTTCTGCACGACCTATACGGCCCCAGGGATTTGGCCTCTTTCCCTTGCCAGCATCTTGCTTCCCCTCCCCTCCCCTCCCCCTCTCCTTCTCCTCTCCCCTCCCCACGCCCCTCCTTTCCCATTTCCTCCCCTCCCCCTCCCCTCTCCTCCCCCCTCCCCTCTCGTCTTCTCTCCACTTCTTTTCTTCTTTCTTGACAGAGCCTTGCTCTGTCACCCAGGCTGGAGTGCAGTGGTCTGATCTGGGTTCACTGCAACTTCTGTCTCCCAGGTTCAAGCGATGCTCCTGCCTTGGCCTCCCAAGTAGCTGGGATTACAGGTGCCTTCCACCGCACCCAGCTAGAAAGCAGTTTGCTAATTGGAGGTTGATGATGCAACTTTTGAAGTTGATGGAAGGTTAGATTTTTTTTTTAGAGACAGAGTCTTGTTCTGTCTTTCAGGCTGGAGTGCAGTGGCACCATCTCAGCTCACTTCAACCTCCACCCCCCAGGGTTCAAGCGATTCTCCTGCCTCAGCCTCCTGGGTAGCTGGAATTACAGGTGCATGCCACCACCCACAGCTAATTTTTGTATCCTTAGTAGAGACGAGGTTTCACCATGTTGGCTAAGCTGGTCTCAAATGCCTGACCTCAAGTGATCCGCCCCCTAGGCCTCCCAAAGTGCTGGGATTATAGGCATGAGCCACTGTGCCTGTCCTCTTCATTTACTCTCTAGCTTCAACTGTATTTCAGGAATGGCGTTATGCCGCCACCTCCTGGCCTTTGCACCTGCTGTCCTCTGAGTTTGTGGCGCTCCTCTGCTAAACATGCACAGGCTCCTTCCCCGCTCCTTCCTCTACTTCAGGTCCCTGCTCACACGCTGCCACTTAAACCACTCCCACTCGGTCTAAAAGGGCCCTCCCTGCCTCTGCATTCCTTACCCTGCTTTCCTGGTTTGCAGTACAGCCAGACATGATGCTAGTTATGTGCTTATTGTGTGTTGCCCACTAGAATGTAACTCCACGAGGACAGGGATTTTACTCTCCGCCGTATTCTCAGTTCCGAGAACAATGCTGTCACATAAAAGTGCTCAGTACTGTGCAGCAGAATAGAAGCATGTGGGCTCTGAGCCTTGTCATATGCTCTTCCCTTTCTCTGAACACCCTTCTAATCCCTAGGCCTTACCTGCTTCACTCTGACTCAACTTTCTGGTCTCACATAGATTAGCGATTCTCAACCTTGACTGAAAAAATGGAATCACCTAGAGAATGTATCCCAATGTCCAGATTAAATGCTACACCAATTAAACCAGCAACTCGAGGATGATACGGCATTGGTTTGTTTTTAAAGCTCCCCCAGTGATTCCAGTGAGCAGCCAAATTGAAAACCACTAGCTTAGAGGACTTCTCTTCAAAGTCTAATTTCACCAGACACCACCCAACCTTCTTTACCTCAAGTCTAGACTAGGGGCTCCTCCTTTATAGAATAGCAGCTTTTGAATTTGCATTATTAAAACTGCCTGTTCAGAGTTTGCAGTGAGCCAAGATCACGCCACTGCCCTCCAGCCTGGGCAGAGTGAGACCCCATCTCAAAAAAAAATAAAAAACCTTCCTGTTTCCCTGCATATATTCCCAGCAGATTGGAAACTTATTAAGAGCAGGGCTAGTTAGTACCTTACTCTGTCATTTCCCATTATATGGTGCTTGATTTCTCAGTAATTTCTCACAATATCTGAAACCAAATTAACCTTGCTTACTTAATATAGTACCATTGTGGTCAGATATAGTTTTATTTAGTAAAGCAGATTTCTGATCTTATGTACAGTTTTTAGGAAGAGTATTTTGCAGGAAAAAGAGGTGGGTTGAAGCCAGACTTAGCAGTGTACTCACCTGGATAAAGTCCTTCACCAAACAGCTGACTTTCAAAGCAGGAGGCTGCCACTAATTGGTTACTTTCAGAGTGTGTTCATTTATCAATTTAATAGTTTTGGAATCAATTCTGGTGATGATTTTTACTATAGCAATAGAACAGTTGGTCTTATCCTAGCAGTTTGGGGACACTTTGTTTTCCATAAACACGCTAATATTTGCTGAATGAATAACTATGGACAAGTTAGTTAACCTCTATGAGTATCTTCCTAATCCATAAATTAGAGCTAGACCTAATCTCATGGAAGTTGAGGCTGTAAAAGTAGACTACATTCCGATTATAAAGGGTCTTGAATGTGATGCTAAAGCTCTTGAACTTTATGCTGGGGGCATATTAATTTCTTAAGCAGGATAATGACATGATTGGTAACACAGAAAGGCAATACAATATTATTGTGGGAGTATCGGCGGTGAGTTGGGGAGGGGAAGATCACAGGCAAGGAAACCAGGTAGGAGTAGGTAAGATAAGACAATTGTTTCAGAACTAATGAGTCTTTAATATTTTCAGCACATAGTGATAGAGCATTCTGGGAAGCAGTTGGTGGTTTGGATCCACTGTTGAGGAGAGAGGTTAGAGCCAGGGTTAAAGACTTAGGATACTAAAGGGTGGGGTTTAGGTCAAGTTGCCCTACGTGGCCTTATAACAAAGAAGAAAAAGAACCAAGGATGGATTCTAACAATAACAAAATTTATGTATCTATGAATGACAGTTTCTCTCTCGTCACCCAGGCTGGAGTGTAGTGGTGCAATCTTGGCCCACTGCAACCTACACCTCCTGGGTTCAAGCGATTCTCCTGCCTCAACCAGCTCCAGAGTAGCTGGGATGACAGGTGCCCACCACCACACCCAGCTAATTTTGTATTTTTAGTAGAGACAGTTTCAACATGTTGGCCAGGCTGGTCTCGAACTCCAACCTCAGGGGATCCGCCCAGCTCGGCCTCTCAAAGTACTAGGATTATGGGTGTGAGCCACTGCACCCAGCCACAATAACCAAATGTAAAGGACAGGAAGAAATAAAGGCAGGAAAGGGCTGAAAGCAAGCAGTTAAAATGGTAAAAGGATCAAAACCAAGTGGGGTTGTAGAACCAAGGAAGGAGAGTTTTAAGGGTGAGGAGATGTCAAGAGCAGCAAATGCTAAACGCCAAGGAGGATGCAAACTCCAGAGCATTGCTGGATTTGACAAGTGGGGTCATTTGCCAGCAGTGCAATGTGTCAGGGGGGACCTGAGAACACTGAGGAGAGAATGGGAGGTCAAGAAGTAGAAGTGGCATGTGGGTGATTTTAAAAACTTTTTTTGGTGAAGAAGGAGAAGCAGAAGATGATAGATGCCTGTTTAAGCTTAAGAGGGGGATAAAGCTCATTTAAAAAAAAATTTTTTAATCCTTAATAGAAACTGGGTCTCACTATATTGCCCAGGCGAGTTGCAAACTCATGGCATCAAGCAATCCTCCCATCTTGGTCTCCTAAAGTGCTGCGATGATGGGTGTGGGCCACTGCACCTGGTTGAGCTCCACTTGTAAGAGAGGTAGTTCAGCACCATGATTCAGAGCACAAGCTTTGGAATCAGCCAGTTGGCCTGGGATTACATCCTACAACCCGTACCAACTGCTGATCTAAGGCAAAGCTCTTAACCTCTCTGTGCCTTGCTTTTCTCATCTGTAAATTAGGGATAATATTCAGCACTTGAAGCACCCCCACTGTGGGTGAGGACACCTGCTTGGCATGAGGATAGGTAAGATGTGTATGTTTCCTTGCCCTTGAGAGCCTTACAATTTACTAGTAGACAATGGTGAGCCAGTAGCCATGTCACAGCATAGTCAAAGCAAGGACCTCACAGTGCTCATTTTGGCACCTTCATGACTCCAGACAACTTGTTGCACCTGAAGTGTTACTCTGGGTTTTGGGAATTATGGTTACGATGATAATTCAAAATGGCTCTTCTTGTCCTTTCAGGTGAATCACGTCCGAACCAGAGACTTTGACTGCTGCCTTGTTGTGCCCCTCATAGCAGAATCCGGGAATAAGCTGGACCTGGTTATTAGTAGAAACCCGTTGGCTTCACAGAAGTCTATAGAACAACAGAGTCTACCAGGAGACTGGAGTGAACAGAACAGTGCTTTTTTCCAGCAGCCTAGCCATGGTGGTAATTTGGAGACACGAGAACCCACTAATACATTATAGCAACGCTTTTTATAAAGCAGGACAAAAGACAATATCTACATGGTGCTAAAAATACCTTTAAGATTTCTGTGACATTTGAAGCACAGATGATCACATGGCATTAACCGCAAGCACAGGGGTCTTTTAAATCTCTCATGGCTCATGTTCACTTCCCTTTTCAAGTTGAAGAGGTTTCTTTTTTGGTGACCACTATGGTCTATGGCGGGCAATGCCCTGCCAGGCCCAATGGTAGAGAAAAATAGGCCGCCCCCCAACCCTACAATGAACATCAGAGGAAATTTTTTACAAGTTCATCTTACTATCACTTTTTAAAAAGAGAAACATCTGTTTGAAAATATTCTCTATGATGATTTCCTTAATTCACTTTGAAATCGGTTTCTTACTATGAAGTCGTTAATGTAAGAACTTGACCAACAAGGCTTTTCTTCTCATAAGCTGGCTCTAGGGGAATGAGTGTTTGGTAAACTGCTGGGACTGCCACAGTGGGAGGGGTACAGGTATAAAATTAAGTTATCTTAAAATGTTTCAGCAATGATGCACGTAGGAGACCATAATAGGTGGTGGTAACTGTTTTGCTGAAGTATAGGAATGATTTTAACTAAGATGTATGCTATTCCCTATGCAACAAATTATCAAACAGGATATGTCTTGTGACCTGTTTTTTTTTTTTAAGGACACATTTTTAATAGCTGAAAATCTCTGATAATGAATTAGAGTGTGTAGTAAACACGAGAATTAGCTATATTACCTTATTTTTTAAATTCAAGACTAAGAACTTAAGAGAGAATGAAGAGTCTATTAAAATGAGGTTCCTCTTAATGATAGGCAAATCAAACTCATACTGCTTGATATGTTTTTGAAAACTGGTAATATTGAGGGTGTACAGCACATGTACTTAAAAATGACACTGGACTATCTTTTGTTCTGAGCCATGCCACTTACTGAAATTGTAAATACATTTTTCACAAATGCATTGCCAATTATTACCATCCCTCAAAGCAATAAATTGTGACAGTTGCTTTAAATGTTTGTCAGCAACTGTTTTCATTTGTTCAGATATTTTGAATAGCTACACTAATAACTGTTATTTGGTGAATATAAAAAAATAGATCTGTATATTGATGGTAGACTCTCCATATTGAAATGATTATTTTCCAAACATTTTCATTTTGGTCAATAATTCAAACTTTACCACTTAGGCAAAGCATTCAAACACTGTGTCCTTTGTTGTTTAAGAAAAAAAAAATCACCTTTCTTTTTGTGCAAAAAAATATTTATTTCAATCACATTTCAGAACCGCCAGGGCAGGAAGGTATAAAGCAGAATCATGTTAAGAAAAAAGATCATGAGTCACTTAAATATGTATTTTTATTTGTAACAAGTATTAAACTGTAAAGTATTTTTGTACAAATTTAATACTTTAATAGCATGGTATTTATCGTCTATGTATGGTTTTGGGGAATTCAAATTGTTCAAATATTTGTATGGAAAAAAAAAAACCCTCTACCAAATGGAATAAACAGTGATTTTAAAAAGCCAAATAAACAGGACATGCATTATTGGTGTTTCCAACATATTTCAGTGTTCTACCCTGAGCTCTATACAATGTTTTCTTGTTTTGTTTGAGATGATGGAGTTTCACTCTGTTGCCCAGGCTGAAGTGAAGTGGCATAATCTCAGCTCACTGCAACTCTTGCCTCCGGGGCTCAAGTGATTCTCCTACACAGCCTTTGGAGTAGCGGGCATTACAGGCCCCGACCACCACAACCAGCTAGTTTTTGTATTTTTAGTAGACACAGGGTTTCACTGTGTGGCCAGGCTGGTCTCAAACTCCTGACCTCAAGTGATCCACCTGCCTTGGACAGGCGTGGGCAACCACATCCGGCCACAGTGTTTATTTTTGTATACTTTTCTAAAGGTGAAAGGTTTTCCTATCAACCTGAAAAGCACCACTGAAGAGTTGGAACCTAGGTTTTGAAACTGCATCTAGGTTTGATTTCAGGTCCGGTACTTAATGGTAGTATGAAATTTACTCACCATGAGTCAGCTTCTCTACCTGAAACTGAAGGTCATGTGTGTACCACAGAACCATTGAGAAGATGAGGAGTGAAATGTAGGAGAATGGGCTAAAACACACAAACACCTGCAAGACTAATGGTACATTTACTGTAGGTGACAAATTTTGGTCAAGTATTACAACATCCACCCTCCTCAGAGAAAATTACATGTACTCTATGAGATAGATTTACATATAAACTATTAAAACATACAAACTTTATGCTACCTTAAAAAAAAAAAAAAAAAACACTATAGTCTCAACATTTTCATTTCTGCAAACTGCCTTGCAAGCCTTGTAAATTCACATTCATTTTTATCCAGTTGGATTCAGTGTGCCCAGGGTTACATTCTGAAAGGCAGAGTATTTTCTAGCACCTGAGAGTCATACGACCCCAAGTGACAATCTATTATTGCAAAAATCCAAGCAACTGTTCAAATATTTATTGCACAATATAGCTATATAGTGTCTCCTCACTTCTGCATCAAGCATGAGGCTGAAGCCAATGAAATGTGTAGTTAGAACAGATTTTGTGAATAAAGGCAAATGAGAAGCTGTATCTCATAAAAGACGGATATTTCAGTTGTAGCCAAAACTAAAATGAATGAACAATAGAAAATGGCTGTTAAAACAAGGTTTGAGGGAGGCGCATCTCACACATTCACGTGAACACCCATGCATCAGGCTTATGACCTACAGAAGGATCTTAATGAAATTTTACAGAATTTGGAATTGGGTCAGTTATTTGTATTTTGGCCAATAGTACATTTATAATATGAGAATTAGTGCTTTGGAATATTCAGTTACATAGTATTAGTTTCATTGTGTTTTATGGAAAAAAGGTATTTTCAAGTTCTTCTTGACAGTGTGAAGCTTTACCTGAGCCCTATACCCTGAAACATAGCCAGAGTTAATGAAATTTTATTTCTAAAACATTACAGTAACCCTCCTGCCCAACACCTGTGTGTTCCAGGAAATGGCTTATTATAAAGAACCATCCTTCCCCGGGTGACTTCGATAAGACTCACAGATGTTCATCCCCCGCTCCTCCATTTACTTATAACAAAATCAGACACAGACTGCCCTGAAAATTCCCACTCTTTGCTTCATAAATGATTAGCTGAATTGCTTGTACTCACTGATCTAGAGAATATATTAAGCTTCCTTCCCCCAGGCTGTTGAACTTTGACCAAATCTTAATTTAAGTCAGCACACAACCCCTCCTTAAGAGCCCCTCCTAACAGTAATAGGATAAGAGTTAAAATTAATGAAAAAGAGAACAGAGGCCAGGCGAGGTGGCTCAAGCCTGTAATCCCAGCACTTTGGGAGGCCGAGGCGGGTGGATCACGAGGTCAAGAGATCGAGACCATCCTGGTCAACATGGTGAAACCCCGTCTCTACTAAAACTACAAAAAATTAGCTGGGCATGGTGGCACGTGCCTGTAATCCCAGCTACTCAGAAGGCTG